TGTGAGATTCCAATGCAGCTCCCCATCTTGTATTCCATGTCCTCCTCTGGTGAAGTGACCCTGGCACTACACGGCTGGCACAGCACCTTCCTGCAGAACTGCATCCTTGTCAGTCAGACTCAGCATTGCCAAAGCAGGGAGATCTCTGCTACAGACTGAGTACGCCTGTGAGTGTGAGCCTCAGTCACTGACAGATGCCCAGCTCTGCATTTCTACTGACACACTGCTGAACACTGTGTACATTCTGGTAATATAAAGGTCTACATTTTTCAAAGCCTGTGATGCTAAAAGGCTGCTACTCCATGTATTACTGCATATAGTCGAGGCTCACAGAACCACACGGCTGAGCAGAGTGAAGCTCAGCCTCGGAGGGAGAAAATACTGAGAGGAAGATACAGGAGGCAGCAAAACAGGAGCCTGTGCCTTTAAAAAAAGAACAGAGGGGGTGAGGATAGTGGAGCTCCCTATCACTGAGTAAAACCCAAGAACTCCAGTGTAATCACTCATCTGAATCTGATCACAGTGAAGCTCACTCAGTCAAAAGAGAGCACGAGCCCAGTCACAGGAATAGAAGAAGAAACATCACCTAAGACTGAAATCATTCATTATTTTTCATGCACATTAGAGGATAGTGTATGAAATATACTCTTGTTTTTTCTGCATAATGACACATGTTCTTCAGCAAAGTGTAAGAGAAGAATATAATGCAGCCCAAATTGTACATTTCAACTGAAGCCGTGAAATTTCGACCAAAAATCGACTAATCGCCAGGGTCAGGGGGTTGACCTAAATATTTTGCACTGAATTGTTTTGCACTGACAGCGTTTTGAATCACGTGCATCCACGATTTCCGCATATATTTAAATTAGGGATATTGGCACAAAAACTGTTATAGAAATATTTAATAACCATCGACAGACACCATCATTTTGCTTTTAAACACAACGCTGACAAGTCAGCGTACCGTTTTCAGATGATATGCCAAGTTTGTAGTCGAGCTGTGGTGGGCTAATTCGGGCTTGCAAACTTTTCATTCGACTTTTTCTCCGTTATCTACTTTTGTAAAAAATCTGCGACCATGTCTTTGACATGGTAGTGGAGACTGACTGTAAATGAAACGCTCAGAACTAAATAAATACTCAGCAAACCACCGCACCTCTAGTACGTTATTCAATCTATCTGTCTGTGGGTTGAGCTAATCCAAAAGAGTGAAAACAAGGCGTGTTCTAAAGACAGATTGTTACCTGTGAAACAGGAAGCTCTGAAAACACCCCCATTTGCACTTGGTACATTCTTCCAGATAAAATTAACGCACACAAAAATATCTCTATATCAACCATAACTCGACCAATTGATTGGGAGATTACAGCCCTAAACACACTATTGCATTCGTTGTGATAAAAAACTAACCAGAAAAAAAATAAAAACACCCTTTTTATTTTCTTTAATTATTCAAAATTTTAAAAACAGTTTAAACAAAGATTTAAAAAGATGAAAATATTAGGGATGTTAGAAGATATTATAGAAAAAAAACCACACTAAAACCATTCAGTTTACAAACAAAGAAGTGTTTCACTCTGTTTGTGTGTCAGGGGCCCGAATCAATGGATTTTTAATATCCAAGGCATCTATGAGATCCTGGGAAAGAAAAAAAAAACGTTTAATTCAGTTATGTCTAGAAACTATAAATGTAATTTTTCATATATAATGTGCCTTGTTTGTTATGAGCTAACCTTCCACATCTTTGGACTGATGGACACAATGCACTGTTTACAGCTGGACGATCCTTGACCTTTATCTTCATCATCCTCCACAGGTGCTAGAAGCAAACAAACAGATTTACATTTTTTCCTCTGTCATTTTCCAGCCAGAATACCGAGGACAAATGTTAACATCATCTCACCTATACAAGGCAATTTGTCATCATCCAGAAACATCTTTGCCCAACCATCCTGCGAAAACACGTATAGTAGTTACTCCGATCCATCGCCACTAGAGGGCGGGAAACTTCAGCCTAGACAAACCTGAGCACCGGTAACTCACCCTGATGAGGAAGGATGTGTGAAAAATGTTCTCTACTGTCCGGGAAAAGGAGGTGGGGTCGATGACAAACTCGTAATATGATATGGGAGTTAAGGCTGAAGAAAAAAAATCATGTTAGGAAAATAAAAGTTACAAAGTGCCATTTATTAATGTTGCCAAGGTAACCCTGGAACTCACGGTCCTGTTGGTGGTAACCCCTCAGGCATCCCAGAATTCTCTCAACCTCCTTCTCTGTGGCCTCTTGATGGGACTCTACCATTTTCTTCATCTGATAGATGACACACACACAAAGCAGAGAGTATTTACAGTAACTGACATCACGGCTAACTTCAGCATCTACGTCGTGTGTGTGCTTTTATTAGGAGCCCTGGCAGTTTGGTGGCAGGTCAGCTACCTGAGTTGGCATTGCTCTCGTAGTTTCCTTCGTTGGTGCTCTGCTTTGCCGGACAACCTTTTGTTTTGGAGGCGGTGGTTCTGCATGGAAGGAACCTCTCCTAAAAACCACAACCACAGGATAGAACTCAATTCACATTCTGTATGCATACATTATGTAACTGCCCTTTACAGGTAATAGTTGAAGCTGTCAAACCATTAACATTTATCATCTAATTTATCACATGACAGATGTACATTAATCACAATTAATTAAGATAAAGCCTAATACTAATTAATCACAATCAATGGAAATGAATCAACATTCCTGAAAAATGCTTCATGTCTTTATGTGACTAATCCAAATTATGGTATAATTAAAACAAATGTCAACAAAATATGTAAATGTGTAACTTCAATTTTCACTTCATAGAGTTGGCGGTTGTCAGTCATTACTGTGCATCTTGACGGAGGTTTGTGGAACGCATTGAGAGTTGTGTTATGTTAATCAGTCTACACTTCCTCAGAATCCATTTGACATTTTTGTTGTTTAGCCTGTCAGTCCCGTCTTTTTCTTATTACATACCAACACTAGGATTGCATTCTTACATGAAGTGGAAGGATGGTGCTGTCCTGAAACAACACTCCGCCCTACTGGCCAATCTGTGCCATGCATCCGCAGGAAGGTAGCCTTTATTTGCTCCTCCTTTCTGCTCATCATCATCATCATCATCATCTTCCAGTCGGTTAATGCCCATGAAGGATAACTGTCAAAGAAGACATTTGTACATGCAGACAAATTAGACATGTATGTTAGTATTTGAATACAGTAGTTAAAGAAACAGGAGCAGAGAGAGAAGAAAACTGAAGCTATTTAGAGTAATATCCAGTTCCTTCATCCATCCAAACATCTTATGATATAAACTTCTCATCTAAATACATTTGTGTAAGTGCACAATAAATAAAGTGAATTCCTACCAGGCGCTCAGTAAACATGGCAGTGTCAAAGGCAGTGCCATCAGCCAACATCTGACTGGCTTTTTCTTTACCCAGATCCGAGGCCACCACCAGGAGCTGGGCGTCCAGAGCTGCTTCTCTGGTCTGTCGCACTAAAAGAAAGCAGATCAGACACACATTCACCAACATGGATTCATGTAGTTTGAATGGCACATAAAGAGTGCCATTTAAGAGAACATCATGGAGACACATACTGTACTACATACTGAATCACTCTGAAATATTATTTCTTAGTGTTTAAATACTGCTACTCTTCATGGAAAACTTTTTTTACATAACTGCATTTGATTTGGTTGGGTCAAAGGTCACCAGTCCATCCCCAGGAACCATATAGAGACTTACACACATTTTCACTTCTACATTCAATCATGAGTTAACAGTTTAACCTAATCCTGCAGGTTTTTTAGATTGTGGAAATCACAGACTGGAGCTGGAGCTCATACGTACCATCTTTAAAAAGGTTGTTTGCTTCTTCTAAAACTTCTGTCAGTCTGTTGTTAGAAGGATTCAGCAGATCTTCTCTGTTTTCTAAAGAGAAAAACAAACATGTTTGTGAGTAACATATGGGAGACAAGGTGAAGATGGTGGACCATCTGTAAACCATCTGCTTAAATAAAAAAACATTAGAAATGGGACTAGATTATTAACTGGAAAGTAATCAGTTTAATAATCTGTACTTAATTATTTTCTAATTCGTCAGCATCATATCCAGCTGCCTACATTTGTTGATCTCGGTGCTGATGACAACAAACACACTTTGTTTGTCTTCATGTTTATGGCTGGTGGTTGGTCTCACTTACGTTGCATGGAGTTGATGAGATCCCTGTATTTGCTCCTTATTTTTCTCCGAAGACCTGGATCATCGTCGTTGCTCTGCAGATCCGATGGAGCAAAGGCAGAACCATCACTGTTACCATTGCACTGCTGTCCCTCTCTCTGTTCCTTGCGACTGCTGTCTCCTCCGCCACTGCTGTCTCTCTCCATACTCACTCAGTAGTATTGATGACCCTGTGAAGTATTTTCTAATAAAACCCGGAAAGTCTTAAAGACAGATTCAATGTTAAATCAAAGAGGTTTTTGTTTAAGAGTGAGGATGTCGTTTAAAAGTCATTGACGTTTAAAAGACATTGTTCTGCACTGGTAAAATAAAACAAAAACAAAATAAAACACGATCGTTGCACTGATTCAGGGGTCAATGCGACTCATAAGAAAATATTACGGTTTCCGAATCATAACAGCTTCTTGTTGCAATGGAGACAATAGTTCCTTTGTGAATTGAACTAAATGGTTTCAAAGTATTGAGTATTTTAAAAAATATTACAATATAAAACAAACCAACTTTTTGTAACCTAAAACAGGCAACTTTCTTCTGGAATCGTTGGATAACGGAAATCGGATGTACTTTACAGTGTATCATCCCTCTTCAGGTCGAAGAATCTTTGTTCCATGCTAATTCCAGCCCGTGTTAGCAAGTAAAACATTATCTTAGTGGCTTAACACATCTCCGAAGATATCGACCCTAATATCACAATAAATCCATGTTACAAATACATTAAACGCGTATTTTAGTTATTCCTTTGAAACAACAGTGTCTTGAAATTGACATATTTGCATCGTACCTGCTAACATGGAGATAATGGACGCGCCATTTTAACAGATGTGTTTATCGAAGTTAGTTTTGTTTTGATACTATAGTGTTGCGTAACGAAAATGAAACTGAAAAATCCATGTTGTTTTGACAGTTACCGTTGACATTCCGTTTTAAGCATCGCTGCTTATCTAAAATGTAACCCGGTATATTCTCAATCAGCTACTGAAACGATGGGGTGCCCTGAGCTAGCTCCATTTGATATTTAGAATTTAATTTATTGTTTAATTAAATGTTTTGATAGAATATATACCTTTTATTACTATTTTGTGTATAACACAATACAAAAGACCTAAATGTACTACTTTTAAAGTCTGAATGTTACTTTGAGTGTCACCTGTTATAATTACTTTTTTTTTAAAAGGAAGATAGAAAGAAATGCATTTGTCTCATTTTCTTCTTGAAAGACCAAATACCGTGTCGAAGGACGTATTATATTTATGTCCTTGAATGCCGTTTGTCTAATGTGAAACTAACTTCAATACCTGGGCGGTGTCAGGATGACGTCAGGAACTTAAGCGGTCATCCATTACGATAGAGGACGCTGTCGCTTGTATTTGTCACCGTCTATTCCGTCAAAATACTCTCCGTTTTAAATGATTGTCATGGCAACAAAGGACGCAGCGCCCCTGCTGTCTTTTCCAGTTGTTACAACCAAACTATTAATGGATACGTGGTTTAATCAGAGCAGCGTCACGTTTAAAATGGTAAGTGTATTTTAAACGAACACATTTAGGAAACAAAATCAAATGCTTATAGGGTTCGAAAATCTTTAGAAAATAAAATCCGTTTATCTACAAGTAATATTCGATATAAACATTGTGTATTAAAATATACCCTTGTTCAAATATGTTTGTTAAATTAATTAATATACCCTTGTTCAAATATGTTTGTTTACAAGTTTCATGGCGTTTTAATAATTTCAGGCAAAGTGGTATTTACTTCAGGGGTAACTTTCAGAAATATTCTTTATTTCTATAGTTTATGGACATTTTCCCTATGGGATTTTATTGACCAAAATGTTGATTTTTAATTTTGTTTGACATACTGCATCATATTCTGCTTGTAGTGGTCGTTTCTTGCACACTTGTAATTGTACCACACTTTGGATTGTTGGGCATGTAATAGGACAAAAACCTAAAAAATAAAAGGATCCTTGTTCTATATATACATATCCCTATGAATACTCAGGGTAAATATTTCAAGTGTTGTTTTCCTGTTTCGCTGCAGCTGAGAAAGACAAACGAGAGCAGCCCTAATCCCTCCATGACCTTTCCACATAGGATCGTCTGTGGAATTTGTGGAAGCACTGCAGCGGAAAAATCCAAAGAGCTGTAATCTTTTTGGTGTGAATGTGGTTTTCTTGATGGAGCAGAAGTCCACCTCTGATGTACTTCACCTGGACCTGAACAACTTTAACAAGCCCGAAGCAGAAGAGAGTCGGTACGTTTTAACCAGTCCACGTTCGCTGGAATCCTGTGCACGTCTTGACATCAAACCTGTTGATCTCCTGATCAAATCTCTGAACCAGCTGGTTACTGAACAGCAGCATGTGCCCTCGGAGGTAGTAAGAGTAATGCACGAATCCTATGAAAAAGAAAGAATGAAGCTTCTACAAATGTGTCGAGTGGAGAGGGAGAGGATTAGCCAGACCGACAGCTGTCCAGGATCTGGCCTGGACAAAGTGCCTATCTCTAAACTGAAGGATCACTCAGGGCAGAGGCACTCTATGCCATATGCAGAGCTTTGCTCTAAAGGGAAGTCTATGAGCAGGACTTCATGTTCTACTGCTGGTGACAAAGACTTAGACAGGAGCACAGTCTGCAGCTTCAGACTTGGTGATCTCAGACAATTCCCTGCTACAGAGAGGAAACTACAGAGGCTCACCGCTGACATTGAAAGGAAGATGTGTGTCACAGTGGCAGAAAGAGACCGCAAGATAGCAGCTCTCATGTTGATAAAACATGAGGAGGAACAAGCTCACCTGATGCTTCGTCAGCAGCAAGACCATAAAAGGGAGGAGGCTCGAAAACAGAGTGAGATTCTGCAGGCTCAGAAAGAGAAAACAAGGAGGAAGAACCTGAAACAGAGTTTGCGGTGCTGGCAAGAGAAGCTGGAGGTACTCAGGAGGTTAAGGGAGCAACGGGAAAAAGAGAAAGTTGAACAACTGGAGCAGGAAGTAAAGCTGAAAGAAAATCACTGGAGGAGGTTGAAAGAAGAGGTGGAGGAAACGTGTAGAAAAAAGATGGAGGCCTCACGGAAAGAGGCAGGGAGCCGCAAATGCTACCAGGAGAAGCTGCTCAAGGAGAAGGAGGAGGCAGAACAAAGGGAGCAGGAAAAGGAGAGACGGATATTAATGAGAAGGGAAGAAAAGGCCAGAAGAAACAGGGAACTCCAGGCAAAGGAAGAGAGGAAGAAGATCCAGGAGGTGAACCAGAGGGAGCTGCTACGGCACATGCTGCTAAGACAGCAGAAAGAGCAGCAGGTGGAGGAAGAGGAAACACTGATGAGGAGCAGCCTTGAAAAGAAGATGCAGTACATCAGTGTAAAACACGCCCAGGCTGTGAAGGCACGGCTGAAGGAGCAGCACGAGAGGACGGCAAAGGAGGAGCAGCAGGTTCAGAGAGCAAAGCTGAGGTCCAAATTACAGAGAGACCAGGAGCTCACGCACAAGCAGATTCTCCTACATCTGAGCCAGCGCCGCCTGGAAAGAGCTGCACTGCTAGCTTCCAACCAGAGGAGGAGCAGAGCTCGGCAGCTAGATGAGCGAAACAAACACAGGCAGCTCTGCCACCAGAGGCTTAAAGAGAGGTTGCAAAGCGAAGAGGAGGCAGTGAGGAAGGACAGAGAAAGAAACCTCTCCGCGAAAGACCTGAGGCGGGAGAAGCTGAGGAGGCAGCAGGAACAGATACTGCAGGAGGCACAGACGCTGACCCGTGCCTCCTTTTTCCTGAGGGACCGGGTGAGGCAGCAGATTCAGAGTAGAAGTTTCTGTCACATGGTTGCTCAGGCTCAATTGACTGACTGCATGAGTCACATGAAACTGTGAAAGAAAGGAACTGTGCTGGTTCTGCCTTCAAGACAGAAACATCAATGTAAAAGTGCAGTGAAATAAATGAATGATTTGTTTTCACTTTCTTTGAAAAACTTCCTGGGGGGTTGGTGATGGCAGGTTAAATCCACCAGTCCAAGGCTGAATAAAACTGAATATTGTACTGTTTTCGTACAGCAACAGATCACGAGTATTACAGTCCTTCAGGAAGAAATCTTTTGCCAGTGTTCTGTGGAAAGTGATTTTCTATCTAAACCAAATTGATACTAATCACACTCAAAAGGCGTGTTGTGCCTGTTTTGGTTCTCTGATGTCACACTGTGGCTGCTAGTGTTGGGTTACAAGGAAGAACCACAGGACAGGTTTTTCTGAGATTTCATATCATGTCTGGAGCCATATGAAATCACTGTCTGACATATTATGGTCTGTTGACTCTCACTCTCACTCATTTATAGTTATTTCTTACTGTTTTTACCTCTCATACAGGTATTTTTAAATAGATAAAATAATGTATGAGACAGCGCTTTTTTAGTTTTTTTTATGGGCAGCACTAAAAACATTGGCACCAAAGCCCATCATTTTATCATTATCACTGTGTAGCCTGTAATAGGAGCACAATCTGTTAGAATTACTATCTAATCTATGTGTGTATGTTTATCATTCACTTTTGAAAAAACATGTTGTTCTCCCCTGTGTAATCACTGGGTGGTACAGTCCTGTGGCACTTCATGATGACAGAGCAGGGCCACCACGGCTGAGGACATTTAAGAGAACGTATTTATTAAACTTGTGTCTCACACACACACAAACAGTGACTGCACTTTGGAGCACTTTACTTTGTTGGTGCCGAATGTAACGTCAAGACGTCAGCATCGAACCGATGGTTTGAAACCTTGACCCAAAGGTAAAGAAACAGGCTGACCATGACAAAATGGCCTGTTTTCTGTCTGTTGTCTGTCTCTGCTGTATGTTCTAGTGAAACACCTGATCTTGAGCCTGAAAAAACTCACTTCTTTCCAAAGTAAACCTGTTTGCACAGCTGTTGCTGAGCTGTGTTTTACATGTGTTTAGCCTTCAGCTATAACACTTGAACTGTTTGACTTACCTTAACTCAGTTAAAACTAGATGCTCACATTCTGTCCTTTCATCCCCTTAGAAATGTCACACAAAGTCTAGTCATCGACCTGCTTTTAATTCTCAAGATGACATACTCCTAATTATTAACACATTATTTTTTTTATATTTGAAATGTTGTTAGACAAGTGTTTTTGCTGAGAGAAATTGTTAAGATGAAAGTTCTGATAATACATAAAACACACAAGTGCAGCTGAAACACTATTGACTCTCCAATAAGTCAGTAAACAACAAATGTGACATGTTTGCAGAGACAGTTGTAATCCTGTGTGAAATACATGTGACAGAAACAGAGCAGTTTTATATTTGTATGAACAGAGCAAAGTTGATTGATTGACGAAACCAGACTTGGAAAAAATGTAAAATGTTAAGAGACAAGACATGAGTTACTTCTGGGTTATTTTTAAAATTCAAGTAATTAAAAAGCATCAATATTGACATTTACACTGGTGTCTTTTTGTGTCTGGTTACAAAGAAGCCACATGTTACACATGGAACAACAAATGTCAGCTATCATGCCACTGTTCACCTGTGTGAAGAATGTGAAAAACACTAATAAGTCAAATAAAAACTATTTAATTGCAACAGGAATGACGTAAATTTTGATTTTCTAAAATACCATGAACATTACTTCAGTAAAACACTGACTGAATGACAAAACCCCTTTGAATGTTCCCTTGATGACACAGTAGTTACTTACACTTCTCCACGTCCACCTAAGATACTGTGACATGTTTCAGCCTCCAGTCATGTAGGATCCTCCATCTTTGACCTTTTGATGGACAAACAAGAGACACAAAGGTAACAGGATGGGGTCTGACATGTTTCCTTAAAGTGTGGTGACAGGGTGTCCTTTGGATTTTTTTTTTTTTTTAGTCGTCATGTAAGCCAATGGCCAGCACCATTGGAATTCCGACCCCCAGGATCAGAGTGACGCTCTCCAGGAGTCCCACGAAATGCTGCTGGTGGATCTCACTGACTGTATCCTGATGGAGTTCAGATGTTGGATGGACTGTTCTACCACTGCTGATCTCTGGAAGAACGTGCACTGTGGCCACGTAAAGAAAAGTCCCTGCAGAGAAGAGCATTCCCACACCTGTGGAAACGAGCTGCTTCTGAGAAGAGTTACCAGTCTGCAAACAGAAACACACACAAACATGACGTGAGTCACTGAGTTCAGGATCCTGAGGTGTCTTTGCATTTTCTGACTTATATTACTTACCATAGAGGGAGTTTGTTTTTTAAGGCATCCACATCAAACACTAAGGAGCTAATAAAGTTAACAAAGATGGACTGTTTGCAGTCATTAACATAGATACTATTATTAATACTCATCTCCATATAGTCTTTAAGTGTAATTTAGGGCTTAAATTAAGATAGTTTTAAAGGGTTTCAAAGGTCTGACTGTAGTGGTAGTAAAATATCTAATCTTCCCACACTTTGCACAGAATTATGGACATAAAATGAGTTTGAACAGCGGTTCCCTAGTCCTAGTAAAAAAAAAACAAAAACATAACAGGAACTGTACACAAGTGCATTAGCTGCGAATGGGAGTTTTACAAAAAACAATCCCTATCTACATAATTACCGCTTCTAATATGAAGTATGTGATGATGGCCACTATGGGTGATGCTGCTGAAAAGGCCAGTAAATGTCCCTGGATGTACTTCTTTTCAAGGCCGGTGTGCATCAGAAAAGAGACCAAACCAAAGGCTGCTGGTGCCTGGAAAATAAAAGCAATACTTTTATTTAATACATGGTCTATATTGGACATCATCAGAACACTTCAGCTAATAAAAAAAACCCACCTTGTGTAGAATCACAGCTAAAAACATGATAATTTGCACTGTCACTTGACCCGTGGATACAGCAGCGCCCAGAGCAAACCCATCAGCTGTGTGTAAATAAAAACGTCAGCGACTGTTGAGCCTACAGTTTGTTCCTGTGTCTTGATTATCATATGATGTTTAGTGTTTACTACAATACCTGCAGCGTGAATGACAAGTCCCAAAGTGACTGTGCAGCCAATGCTGTTAGACAACCAACTCAACCGGCCTGAAAAGAAACACATGCTTTTTTTTTACTGGGAGGTAAAACGATACACGTGGAGCTGATGGAACCGGTCTCAGACGACGGGCAACTTGCCTCGTGTGGAAATGTAACGTCCAACCTGGTCCACAATAAACATAAATGTGAACCCCAACGTCAGCGACACTCCAATGACAAAGTTGGGCGGAGCTTCTTTGGCCGTGGACGACAAATTTCTGTCGCTGCTGTTGAGATTGGACGACGTGTCCAAGGCAGTGCAGGCTGCAGAAAGGCAAGGACAGGACAAGCAGAGTTGTTTGAGGGACAGATGTGGACATTTGATTTAATCACAAAGGCACTTTCATCATGTGCTGAATGGCTGTTTTTGAAGAGATGTTAATGAAGATGTTGATGAAAATAACCCAGTGGCCCTTCAATGGCAGACGGAATATTTGAGGACGAGAATATGAGCTGAACCTGTGAGAGGAGAGATGCTGTTGTCTTTTCTTCACTGTGGTGTGTTTCGGTTTGGTCAAGTGGGCTGCATGTCTCCATGCCAACCAATTCTAAACTCCTCACATGGCTCTTATACAGTTACTTGAATCACTCAAAAAAAATAATCTCCCTAATCATTCTCAAGAACATGTCAAACTCAAGGCCCGTGGACCAAATGCGGCCTGCCAAGCCGTTTTGTGTGGCCCGAGGAAGCTTAAAAAGCATTTCGTAAAGTCCATGCAGCAGAGGTTCTTCCTTTAGAAATTATTTTTGAACAATATTTGTAGCTTGAATAAATAATAATCATCTGCAGAAACATGTATTAGTCTGTTATGGAGTGGTTACATCTATACCACTGGTCCCCAACCTTTTTTGTTCCAAGCACTGATCAGCCAGTACCACCTGTTACTATGGACCGGTACCAAGGTGCTGATCATTAAATTTTCCAAATAAAACATATTTTAGACTCTATTCTGTTAGTATCAGAGTCTTATTGTTTTAAAATATTGCCAGATTATCTTTAAATAAAGAAAGTAACTGGGTAAAAGATAAATGAATAAAGTAAATTAGTAAAAATAGGTATCATTTTTTGATTGTGTCCAACTGCAACCCAGTACCAAATGAGCCATGGACTGGTACTGGTCTGCGGACCGGGGATTGGGGATCCCTGATCTATACAGTCTTCCATTTACAACCAGCCCTTCAAGGGAAAATGAGTGAAAATGAGTTTGACACCCCTGGTCTAGAAGATTTCGAACAGCAAAAGTCCTCACCATCAAAGACAGAAACAGCATTTAAAGTACAGTTCACACAATGCTTCTTAAAAACACACAAGAAGCAGGACTCAGGTTAGCCATAATTAAGAGTCAGTGCAGGACTTTTTTTTAATCCGTCCATTCCTTATCTGTAAATACCAGGCACAGCTTGGTGCAGGAGGAGCCAATTTAACTAAAGCTACAGAGAAACTTCTATACAGTGCAGTACAGATGATCTTAAAATAATAAATGTTATTATAAGGGATGAAAAACATTTTTTTTTATTTCATGGAATTAGAACTTCACTCTAGTTGAGTCTTAGGAGAAACCCTTATGTTATCAGAAGAAAGGCTTTAATTATCCAAGGAGGACGAAGCTTGGACTGTGGACCAACGTCACAGGTCAGGTGACCTGACAAATCCAGATTCACCCTTTTTCCACAGCAAATGGACTTCAGGAGAGAGTATTAAGTGATTACCCATCATGCCTTGTTAAGATCTGGCCTTGTTTAAGTAAGTGAGCACAATAGTAGTCTGAAAGGTGAGAAAATGAACTGACGTGTTAGTTCATTAAAGACAAACCAGTTTTTGAGGAAACTATTTTAACTTAGGCTAACACAAGAACCAGTGACTGTTTAGTTACTGCAGGATGGGAACCATTTTCCTCAAGGAATCGAACAACTGCACTGACAGAACAATAAGAGACACATATTGGAGTAAACATTGACACATGATGACATGATAATTGTAATGACACTGCACGGGTAACGGGGCCAGTTTTCTGCCAGTTCCCAACACAGCCCAGTTAAGAAGGTGGGGTCAGCACGGGCATGTCTTTGTTCAAGAAACCTGTTCTAAATCACCCACTGTATGAAGATCACCAGCTGTACCCTTGTTGGAGAGAGGAGTGGCCCGATGTATCGTGTGTTCAATGATACTGTTGACACATATTTGCTTTCGTTGTTTGTAATACTTGCATCTGTGTGTGTGTTATATTGTTCCCCAGTCTTTTCATTCACTCCTGGCTGCAGCACACGGCTGAACACTGAACACTGTAAGTCAGTGTACTTCTCTGATAGAAACGGATGAAAATTCCTCAAATTTTGTTTATATGATGTGGGGAAAGAAATTATTATTATTATTATTATTATTATTATTATGCATACATTTACACAGAAATGGTTCCAGTTTAAACGTGACTTTCTTGTCTTGATTTTATTTTTGTCATATATTGGCTTTTGTTGCTGGTATAATGTTTTGCAGAGAGTGCACTAACGTGGAGCAAATACAATGGTACCAGGTTCACCAAACAGGATTCCTAAATGAGGAGACAAATAAACCAGGTCAGAGCCAGGTTTCGTAAAATGATGCTGAGACAATAGAGTTGGGTAACACAAACCAAAACATCCCAGGTAACCAGGACAGAAACAGGTCAATGTAGCACAGGATACAGGAAGAAGAAGAAGACGAAGAAGAAGAAGAGCTCCAAGACAAGGGGCAGCAAACTGCTGAGTGTGGTTTCTAACCGGGTCACAGAAAATAACTATGCTACATCTTGTGTAAACCGCAAACACCTACTGAACACCAGTTAATTATAAACCTGATAACAGGTGATCGTTATGAACTGTCATTACCTACTACACATGAACATGAATGTGATGTAATGAATGTGATTAGGCAGCAGCAGGTACTGACGGAGGGACGACGGTAGCACCAACCAGCCGTCAGTTGACTGGCTAATATGCATTTCATCAGAATGAAAGAGTTCCAAATCACACATGAATTATTACTGCATGTAATAATTCATGAACCTCATCTACACACTCATCTTACAGGAGAACTGGGGGGCATTCTGTGCCAAAACAGTCCGTTACAGTAAATAATCATGTGTTGTGAAATGAATATATGAATGACCTGAGTTGATACATGGTAGCTGAAATATAAGGCTTTTCAACTTTTAAATTTTCAACTGAATCAACAACAGTAATGATGATTGTTTTAAGTGTAGGGTTGGAAGAGTTGTTTTCAACTTAAACAAATGTTAGTCTCTCTCCCTCTCCTTCACCTCACACCAGCAGGTGGGATGAATACTGTTGGGTTTGTACTAATAGGACAGTAGAGTACAGTAGGGTACTCACCGCTCCTCCACGACTCCTGCAGTAGACTCACTCCCTCTGGGATGGTGATGGCCAGTGCGGTCCCACACAGGAGTCCTGCTCCCAGGCTGGACACGATCTGCAGGCTTTTCTACAAGATTTGACAAATGAGCTCCAGCTGATGAGTTCTCAGCTCTCCTCACACGGATTTAGAAGTTGCATTGTTGTATCGATGCAGCCAGACGACAAACTTAATCTGTTACAGTTTCAATCAAAGTAACAGAACAGTCTGGGAAACAGACACTGATGCAAGAAAAAAAAGAGGAAATATTAAAACAGAACTCACCTCTGAAAGTCTAAACAGGATCGGTACGAGCCCAAGAACAAAACAGCCCACAAACATCGCAACCGATGTTAAAGTAATAATCAAGCCCCCGTCCATGACGAAGACCCTCCTCTAGAGCACGACTCAAGGAATTCCCTGAATGAACACAGTGCTACATTTTAGTACAAAGTACAAGTGGAAGCATACAGACTGAGAGACTGCGAGTACAGTGAGTCTGGTCCAAACCACAGCAGTGTAAAAAATGGTCATCCAGACTTTCCACGTCGCACCTCCCATACTCCTCTGCAGCAAAGCAGCAGCAGCGGCTGCCGTACTTCCCTCCCCAGCGGCGACCGTAGCTGCAGTTACAACAGCATCACCCAGTGTTAGACACGGAGAACAGCATCCATCTGCCGACCAACTTTTCAGGGAAGGAGCTCTGTGTTTATACTGTATATACATATTTGCAGTTGGGTTTTGGGAGATAACGTATTTTTTTAAAATTATGCTTTAATTAGATTAACCATTTCTCATAACAGTATATTTCTATAAGATATATGTACACACACACACACATTTGGTTACGTTCATTTCTGAATGTCATCTCATTTTCAAAAAATGTATTGACTAAATTGTAAATTAAAGTTTGTTTTCACTTTTATAATTTAGCCATGCTAATCGGCAAATACATTTTAAAAATAACCATCACATACAGCACAAGGCATAAATGCTGAATGTAATACCATCACTAGCCTAGCAGCTGTTTTTCAAAATAACCAATTATTTTATATACTGTATATCTCAAGGGCTGATTCTTTTTCGATTGACAATTATAAGCACAGTCATACATTCATATATGAGCACAGCGCACAAAACACATTTCACTTGGTATGAGATGAGATATTTACTGTCCATTTTAAATATGACATTGAAACAAGCTGAGCATGTCTAATGGTGAGTTGTTAAAAAAAAAAAAAAACAATAACATGCATTTATTTCCAGTGAGTTCCACTGTTAATACAGACCTTGTGTAAATACAAAATAAAACACGTTATCGTGATCCCAGATTAGGAATAAGGACTGGAACTTAATGCTACCACCACACTGACAAATGTACAGTACATGTGTACTTGGACTGGACTCCAGCACATACAGTTGTATAGTACTGGTCAGACACTGGTCCACGCTTCAGGGACAGAAAAAACAGTGATCATCGTCTCAAGCCCCTTTGAAAGCTATGGAATTATGTTACATTCAGTGTTTTCAATAAAAACAAAGATGAGGTTTTTATATGATATTTTTAGGCATCTCCCTTGAACCGAGACAGTTTGTTACTTTGACAGGACACATTCAGAGATTTACATCTCAGAGGTATAAAAGAAAATGAAAAGGTATTAAAAATAACGATACTAAGATCACCTTGTCATGACTAGAGGAGCCTGTAATTATCTTCAATTGCAATTAACAACTTTTGCGCAGCGCCATTATCAGGGAAGGAGTTTGAATTCAACACTGTAGCGATCTTACCAACTCAGGACAAACTCCTCATTCAATCATATAAGTGAGAAGAAGATTAGTGCACATGTCTCACTATGGTTCTCAGAGCAGCTCTATTATACATTTCTATATTACTGATTACAAGGATAATAACTGATCTATACTGACTGACTATAGTGGTATTTCATCTACATCACTCCATCTTGCTTTACCCACAATGGTTTTAATGGTTTTTTTATGCGGCGTGTGCAGAAAACAGACGCTTCAATCCTGAGTCGAAAATACATGATCAACTGTGTGTTGTTTTTATGTGTGGCCGGGGGGTCTTGATTTGATATGTATTCATGGATTTGCACAGTGTAAGTCATAATGTAAAAGTCCACTTTGAAAGTGGCCAGTGGCAAACCTGAAAAATGTCAGAGTGGTAGGAGATCAATAACCTGACTTGGAACATTATTAATACAAACCGAAATTGAAAAATGATTAAAAAATCTCTACAAACAAATGTAAACATACAAAAAAAAAATCAATGTAAATGAAAAAAACAAAACAAAAAAACAACAATAGCTACAGAGAACTAGTCATCATGAGTATGATGTGAATTTGACCCAAAATATTCAGAAAGAGGGCTCTTTCTCTTGTCTCCCAGCAGGATCTGCAGGATCTTGGCCACCTGCAGATCGCACCCTGGTGGTGGTGGGGGGGCAACATCAGTAGCAGCAGTATTACAGCAGTACCGACAAAAGCTCAGGGATGAAAGCTTAATAATAATAATAATAAAAAGAAGAAAAGGATCTGTAAATGTAGTGTGTCATTTGATTTATCGGTTGTTTTTAACCGTACAGGAGTGTTAGGTGTTTTTTTTTCCCTAAGAGATTTAGAATTGGAAGAACCATTTTTCTCAAACTATCACATCTGCACAGAGCAGTGTGTCTGCTGGTGTGAATGCCTCCTCTTCAGCTACTTGCTCACAGTACAGGTCCTCTCTCTGAAGTACAACAATGTTACAAAAATACAGACAAGAGTATCACAACCCTTTCAAGGCCAGGTTAAAATTCTTCATTTGTGCATTAGTGTCTTTTCATTCATGGGTCCACGTGCAGTGCTTTAGGGTACTCCTCACCTATAGTGGGTCAGAAAAGTGTTTCTGCCCTGTCAAATTGCACTTCCTCTGCAGTTTTATTGTTTTGTTGAGATCCAGTGGAGGAAAAAGAAGCATCCATGAAAACAATCTGTTACGTGATTGGTAGACAGTGTGCTCATGTTAGCGCAGGTAAGATCCCTCAGTGGAGGATTAGATGCTTTGGAGAACTGTTGGTTCAGTTTGTAGTTTAGTTCACATGTTCAGTGCACTTGTCAAGTTACATTTTTCTAATGGTCCTGGCAGCATCAGTGTCGCACTTCATTATCAATGAGGCTGTCTTCACCAGACTGGAAATCCTCATTCAGGCCATTTTCAACATTTATTATCTCCTCGTCCTGCGAGGACCCCTGGCCATCGTCCTCCCCACTGCCTGACCCAGCTTCTCCTGAATTTGGATCCTGAAGTACCTGAGCGATGTACATTTGCTGCACAGGGAGAAAAATAAACACATCATTAAAGTCAGCATGCTAGTTAATAATTGAAATTAATATTTTTTAACACAGAACTTTTGTTTGGAACAGTGCAATAATTCAGGTTCTCACCATTTACACTACTGTTTTTGTATGGTTTACCTTTTACTTTATGTACATATACATGTTCCTAGATCTTAGTAAATATAAATCTAGTACAAAACATGTTTTCAGTACTTTATACAGTCCTGTTATTTTAATGTTTCATGTTGTGCCTTTTTAGCATGTCACATTTTCCTCTTTGCACCAACAGTTAGTGCTCCAAATTTCATTGCATCTGCACAATGACAATAAGGGTAATTGTTTTCTGACAAACCCAGCACTGTGCAGTTCTTGCCTAAGGGTAGGTCCTGAACTTTGGACTTCAAAATATTACCAACCAGGTTATGCTAGTTGTGCTTAATTTATTCATACATTTCCAAATGTATCTGGATTCCACCTTATTATTTATCTTTGCACAGTTCACCTCTACTCTTGTGCCCTGGGTTCACTTTGTCTGTTTGCACTTTATTGCAACATTCCTGGCCTGTGGTTCACAGAGAGGACCGAAGCTTTATCAGAAATGAAGGAGACCAGAAACAGACCAGACCCACTTAAATAAGACCTCAAGTGCTAAGCATTTATCAAACAGTGCTTGGTTTCTTCTGGTCCACTTTAGGAAGACTGGGTTTGGTTCATTTAACAAGGACTAAGTCTAAAAACACATTTGTAATGTTCATAGTTTACAGTTACTACAGTGGAACATGTGCTGCTCCACTTTTTTATGTCACCTAACCTCAAACCTCGGTCTGTGAACCAATGCATTTGAGGATGAGCACATTTTACAACTTGGACACATCAAATGAACTGAATGTTTACTCCAGCTGGAGTTGTCCAAGACAAATAAGGACTATTTGATAAACTAGTGGCATTTTGCAAAATGTTGAAATGTGCTTTTTAGTTCCTAAACAAAATCTCCTAACATTTGAATTCTGCATACATTACAACAATACCACTAATACACACCGCTGCCTTGTTCGTGGCAGGAGTACACACGACATTTCCATTCTCTGCTCCATCAATGTCCTGGGCATCGATCTGTGGTTTATAAAAAAAACACATTTATAAACAGCGGAGTTAGTGCTAAATACTAGCCAAACATTGGAAAATACAAATCCGACAGCAAACTTTTCTTTGTTACCTTGTAGTTGTGTGCACTGAGATATTTGAAGTGTCCAAAGCAAACGTGAGAGAGGCAGATAATGATTGTGATGATCAATACTACAAATGTGAACATAGATGTTGCAGCAGAAAAACCTGTGGTAGAAAACAATGAAGCTTAGTTCACAGATGCTTGTGTCTCTATGTAGCAAGATATAGAGCAAACGGAAGATTTTTGGGCTTTAAACAGAATCTGTGGCCAGTAGATGGCGTCGTCCTCTCACCAGAGCGAACAGTGTAAAAGAACAGGAGCCAAAACAGGCAGAGAATGGGAGCCGCCACCACTTGGTTGACCGCCCCTGAGTGGATCTTCTTGTCCAGTTTGGTGGGCAGATAAGCGTAGTACATGTTGTACCTGTCTGCCAAGTGCTTCAAGAGCATGTACATCAGCCCTGCACGGGATCAGACAATTGTATTAAGCCCAATGATAAGAACCACTATGAGGACCAGAACCAGAGTGTTTTTACTGTGGTTCTGGTCCTGTGGTCATGTGACCAAGAAATCTAATCAAAGCACTCACCAAAAGGGACGATGATGGGGCAGGTGATGCTGTAGGTCATGACCACAGTGAAAACACACATCATCCAGGCATAGGCTGCTCCAAACTGGAATTCATAAGCCTGGTGCTAAAAAAGACACAACAGGATAAAATAATTAAGTTTACCAGTTTTATCCTTTATAGGGTCAATATAAAAAAGTCCAAGAGTATTAAAAAGAAGTCATAGCTTGTCAAAGACCAATAACCAACAACCATGAACATTTATTTTTAAACTTGGGAGTCAATTTAGAGCAAAAACAGACTCTACATTAATTCAGAAAGTCAGAATACTTTCATATATTATATGAAATACAATATAAAAATATATAAATTATTTATATAAATATATATAAATATTATATAATATTTGACAGTAGTTTTTATTTTTTAAGTTTGAAATCCTATTTCTTTCACTGTGGACCATGAAAGGTTCAGTGATTTTAAGCGAGACAAGGACTAACCCTTTTGACATTCCTCCGCTCAGCTGCAGAGCGAGCCATACACAGACGGATCATGTACATTAGAAGTCCAGGTATTCTCAGCAGGTCCATGGCATTTCCAATGAATGCAGACGCAATGACGTAGTTGACAAAGAAGGCTCCGTTGTCAGGAAGAAATACACACCTGATGTACAGAGAAAAATCAAGAGTTACGCTTAATGATAGAAAAAGGTGATGGTTACATAACGTGCTATATTTTGTGTCTTGTTACCAGGTTAGTAAAATTATGTCACTTACTCAAATCTCACTTTTGCATCAGCAATAAATCTTTTGTCAAAAAACCAGCGAAAGAAAACATCCAAACTGTAAAAAAAAAAAACACAATCACCTTAGATATTTACACTGACCAAGGATTGGCAATTCATAAATACATTTACAGGAAGTATTTAAAAGCCTGCTAGACCTGCTGAGTCCTAAGGAGGGCAGCAACAGGACCATAAAGATCAGGAAAGTGTAGCATTTGTGCATTGTTGTCCTGTTCTCCCCTGAGCTTCAACGTAAAAACAACAAACATTCACACACATTAAACCTTCAGCTCAAACAGAATATAAATAGAAATGACTGTTAGACAATGAAACTGAGACCAGAAAGTGTGAATCATACCGGGTCCAATGTGCTTCAAAGAAGGCAGAGTAGTAAACAATGGTAGGGAGCAAGGCAGAGAAAGACCACAGAAGGAGGGTGGGGAAGAACTGAGTGATGATTGGATTCTGGAGAACACAGGAGCAGACAGAATAGTGATGACTCATTTCAACACAGCTAAAGTTCAGTACATCCCTTCAGTGGGATGTTTTGCTTTGTGGTTGTTTTTTTACACTTACATTGAGATACTCCACTGGTTTTGTCACATTGAATTTGTCCATGGTGGAGATGATGATGGCAGGGGTGGTGAGGAAGAACAGGAGGAGGAAGAGGACAGAGTTGATGACAAAGCAGCGGATCCACCAGGAGAATCCTCCCACCGACAGATGCTCCCTGTGGGATAAAGGTTGTGGGATGGTTAGACTGGGGCTGGGTGATGACCTAGAGATATGGACACAGCTGGCCTGTAAGATGATCCTGCAGCTCACAAACACTCCTGTCTTCCATCTGGTTTTAGGGAATGTCCTTAAGCTGAAACAAGGCTCAGATACATCTTTCTAAGTGCAGACTACAACAATAGGATGAGGTTGTAATAGGTTACAATGTAAAATATTCTGTTATAAAATTATTAGATATTCCTATGCACAGGAAACCAGCTATTAACATGGGCCGTCAACTGAGATTGAGAAATTGGTTTTTTGTCTACAGTTGAAAAAAACAAAATTATACTAGATAATATTTTTAATGTAATACAAGCTTCAGTAGGGTCAAATGGTGTCAGTGATGGGCAGACTGTTGCATTACAGCAAAGAGATCACCAGGTCACCTTAGTGTGTGTGTGTGTGTTTTTCCCCACATTCACTGAGCATCTGCTAATGTCCCCCTCCTCTGACCCTGGGATGGACGAGTAAACCGTCCAGGTTTTCCCCGTGTCCTGGCCAGATGATCGTGGGATTGACTTCAAGGGGGATTAATAATTTTGTCCTCAACAGCACGTATGGTAAAACTGTGGTTGTTCTACCTTTATTTGATTTATTAAAGTTAGCTGATGCCTGCATATAGCTTGGGCAAGGTGCAGGATGTGCGAGGCGGTGGTGACGTGTCCGTCGAACTTGCTGCACAACTTGTCAATAAAGACTTTGAGTCATCTGAGGCGACTCTTGTTCATACACGCTCTGCTGTTTGTACAGTTTGACTTCTTTTGCTCATTTAGCACAAAAGATGGGAGTTTTATCAACCAACTTCTCCACTTATTCTATTTAAAAAAACACAATTCTAAAAGCGTTTAAGGTTCAGAAAGAGCGGCTAATCTTTAAACTATGAAAACTGAAATTATACTATTTTTTATTTTTTTAAATCTTCAAATACAAAAGGTAAAGTGTCCCTTTCCTAGTGCTGTTGGCCATTTAAAGTGCTTTACACAACACATTTGCCTTTCATAAAAACCCCAAATGAGTCAACTGCAGTTTACAACAGTTGTTTCAACACAACACTGACAAAGCAGGTCATTTTGGGGTAGTTGATATTTTCATATCAATATCTTGAAAAAAAGGAAAGAAAGAAAGAAAGAGGACTCAACCCTGTCCTTACCAGTAAACATTCTGTGGATCAGGAGCATAGCTGACAGTCCAGTTGTGTGTGTGTAGTTTGCCACTGAACTGAGAACTCTTAGGCTCCCGACGACAGTGACAGCCCTGACACTTACAAGCATTGAAGTCTTTCAAAATTCTAAAAAGCAAAGAGAACAGACAGCACATAGACCCCGCAGTGAGTTGAAAGCCATGTGATGTGACAATGTAATGTGATCTGAACAGTTAGACTGTGTTCATACATGGCAGTCATGGACTCATTCTGAAAAGTGACGAATGCCATTCCTAAGGGTTTCCTGTTGACCTTCTCCCTCTCCTTCCTGTAGTCCTCTTTGAGTTGTCCCTCCAGCTTGGTGTAGTAACTTACTGCTTCTTCCTGTTGTGGAAATAAACATAAACTCAAAGAGCAATGATGCTTTGTTGACTACGAATTCATCAGAAAAAAGCAGTGAGGTGATGGTAAAACCGCATACCTTCAGTGCAATGTTTTTATTGCATATCATCTGTCTAACTTTATTGTGACTAATATTAACGTCTCATTGGAGCCGTGTTTTCATTTCTTGCCAGGCAATATTTTCATAGTTCATGAAAAAGTAAGAAAAACTAAACTCTGCAGTTATTAAGTAAGTAAAAGGACAAATGGAACGACTTCATTGTCCATGTTATATTTAACTAATTACAAAATTCATATCTGTTACCACCTCCGCTTTATGTTTAAGGCATTGGCCTTAAACATACACAGTAATTTAACTAAAATCACATTATTATTAAGCGATACAATGGGGCTATGGATAGGCAGAAACATATTACGTTAATCCTTTCTTATCTTATACACAAAAATGTTGATGGTATCTGCCTGTAAACAAGATTTAGGAATGTTTTACTTTGAGATATACAAGTTACTCTGACCTGCTCACAGCCTTTTATGATGCAACAGCAAAGGTGTCCACAGAGCTTTGGATTGATCATGGTGGTAATGTGCTCTCTGGCCTGCAGGTCCAAGAAGAATTTCTTGCTGCGTTCTGTCTTCTTCCTGCATACAAAAACATCAGCTGGATCAGACTAAATGACTTTCGATTCAGTTTACCCACTAATGTTCAGTCTACAACACCAAAATGTGATAAAAGGTTTTTCAAAGGATAAAGTTAAAATCTGTTACCTTTCAGAATTGAGGTACATCAGTCTGGCCACATTGTAACATATCCGGGCTTCCAACACTGTACAATTTTCATAAGCGTGCCTCGAGAAAACAGTCAACAAACAATGATTGAAAAAAACAAACAAAACAGACTATTGTAGTGTAATTGTATCAGTGAATAAAGGTGTTTTTAGACCCAGATGTCCTCACTACTGACTACTGCAGGAGCTAAAGATTTTTGTTAATAATTCTTGTCCAAGTACGAACCAGGCCAAACGTCCCTAATGTCTTCAGTCCTGACACATGACTTGCATGACCCTGCTCATCTGGTTTCTATTATGGAATTACACGTATAAGCCTGCCATTGTCTGAGCCACAACATATAGAGACGAGGACTGAAAAAAAAACCCAGCCATAACCGCATGGCTCTCACAGTAGGTACTACAGTAAAAATCATTGCTGATGATTTATGTACTAAATGTGATTCAGTGGTCAATGTCATAAACGGTAAAGTTTACTCACTCGAAGTGTTGCCTTATCTCGTTCTCTTCAGCATATTTGGAGATCCCATTGACAAACAGAGTACGTTTTACCTGTAATAAAACACAGAAAGAAAAGTATTAAAAACAAACAAACACTAACATGGGCTGACGTGGTATTTTCCTAATGAGTGCCACCCACCAGATCATCCTCTTTATAATGCATCTTGGAAGTGTGTCTTCTCATGCTGTACACAGTCAGTAGCAGGTAGAGAAAGGCAAAGATAGTGTGTAGCCACAAGAGTTTATTACTGTGGAAATCAAGGGTGAAACAGACTTAGTAACCGAGTGGGAAGGTGCAGCAGTACCAGGTACATGATCAGTCAAATTTAGATTGAAGAACTACTTACTCAGCGTTCAAGTTTGCTATAGTGGTTCGCCCAAAACTATAGGCGTTATTATCTATGAGGGAAAAAATACATTGAAAATCATTCAAGATATTTTCATTAATTATAAAAGGCATTAAGAAATAACTCCTGACAGTCTTCACCTAAAATAGCTTCTAAAATAAATTATATTGGGAAGGGGATTAAAACAAGAAAATTTAATTTTAAGTTTTACTTCTTTTTTTTTTTAAAAAATGCTGAATATTAATCATTAATGTTTGAACCTTCTTGAAGCACAGTGCAAATTAACTAGGTGTAATATTGGTCCAGATGTAAAAAAAAGAAAAAAAATCATGGTTGAAAAAAAAAATCCTTACTCTCCACTAATTGTAATGTATTCTCAGATAACAGGTATAGGTTACTTAGTAGTAAGTAAGGTGTATAGTATAGTATATGGATACAACATTTGACCTTGTGACAATCATCATAAACAGTAGTTTCCTATGGCAACATTAGTTTTGCCATAGGGAGCAGCTAACACTTAAGAGTAGCCTGCTGTTTCATGAAAGCTGACTTAAATTTCAGTCAACTTACCAAGTAGGGTTCCTGAAAAGTTAACAGGTAAGATAATGCCCACAGAGAGCACGCCCACCACCACCAGCAGGCCAATGATGTGACGCTGAAAGGACAAGTAATGCACAGCGTCCTCGCCACACTTCTCTCTTATCTCCTCCACTCTGCAGGAGAGACAGACGCAAGCAATTAATGTTTCAATTTCAAGCCGATCATCTCTATACTTTTCTACCAGCTTCGCATTTGTGGACTCACTTAATACGGAAGATAGCAGTTAACCAGGAGCAGAAACCCTGATGTAGAAAAAAAACCATAATCAACATGTGCCTTTTTTGTTATGTTAAGGAACATATTATAATTCAACAGAGGAACCACTCACCACGTCTTTCTGTTCAATGTCTACAGAACTGGAAACTGAAGTCAGACGTTCGTAGCGTTCAGTTGTCTCTGATGTCATTCCTGAGGACATACTGTGTGCAAAACAAAATGACATGCAGTATTTGCTCAATGTTGCATAAAAATAACCAAATATCAGCATGTACTAGAGGAGATGTTAGTTTTTGTACCTTGGGATAGTGGGATTACAATAGGTGTACAACACCTGAAATTTACACACACATCCCAAAATGTACTGAGGAGAGTCAGTCCTGCTTATTTCAACCACAGGACGATTCTCTGTAGTCACATTTCAAACAGCAATAATAGTAAAGAGGCTACATTTCTGCCAGAGGAGGACCGTAGACAAGACAATCTACATTAAAAAAAGGTTATTCATGTGAAAATGACACAAACATGGTGCTTTCTCCAGCAGAGCCACATGTTCACCCTGAGCTCCAGAACACATCTTATTATTATTTATGGTATACAAATTTGAATTTATTGCACAGGGAGGTGACATCTCTTCAATTTATACATAACTGTAAAAAATGAGGAACATTCAGGCTCTGCTGGAATCCTGCATGTAAGAATGATGTCACATGGGGGGACTAAGAGATCTATAATGGAATGAGGGGAGAGCCCGAGGCTGTGATTCACAGACAGGCCTCCTCTCTTCACATTCTCACAGGAATGTGGGGAATAGTAGACAGGAAACACTGTTGATGAACCATGTCAGGGCATGTCTACAGTCAACTACACATCAGGGAAGGTATTACCTCTCCCTATTAGCATCAGGTCTGTGTGGCTCATGCAGTGCACTCACACAGAAGAAGTCCATGCTTGAAAAAGAGGTCATTACATAGATTAGAACAAGAGATCTGATTAGGATGGTGAGAAGGGACAGGACACCCAGCAGCAGAGGGACAAAGAGAGGAAGAATAATTCGGAGCGTGGCCCTGAGAATTGCCTACAGGAAAAGAAAGCTAAAGAGTTAGGTTAAGAGTAAAAGGACAGATCGAAACCCACGGCAGTCTGAGCAGAACGAGTTAGGTCACATACAAAGAAAGGACAGCAACAGATACGTTCGGTAATGGATGAAAAACATACTATTCCCGATCATCCAGGCGACTGTACCGCTGATCCATTCGTCTACAAACAAAAGCAAAACATAGTCATTGAGCTCAGTCTGGGAAAATAACGGCTGCTAATTGACCAACCTTATGAAGGAGGTTGATATTATTTTGTGTATTGACTGTTAATATTATTTTATTGATGTAGTTATAGCGTTTCAGCCTCAAAATACCCCAAATAATACGTGCAATAAGTCTTATTTTTAAGAGTAACATTGGGTTGCAGCAACGTTCAAGAACGTTGAAGGCAGATTCTGAATTCAAGTCAGCATAGAGTCACAAGGCAATAAACTTCATTTCCTGTCTGGGTCTCATGTCACCACCTCCTCTCACCACGCTGCAATCAGTCTCTGCTTCGATGCAGCTGGAAAAATAGTGTCTCTACAACATTACACAAACACGAGGGGGGATAGAAGGGAGGGTTTAGGTGATGGGAGCACTGTCCTGCTTTTTTAGCACTCGCACTCTAATCACACCATTGTCGAGGTGGCAATAGATCACACTAAAAATGGTCTTTATGGCCATACAGTGGCTTTTATATGTGGGCAAATAATAGGAAGTAATTCAAAAGTCACATTTATAGATGATACTTCAGACTGATGAAGCAGCAATATGAAACTGGTTGTCAACTTTGGCACTATAAAACCTACAGCAGTTGCCTTCCCTGTCTGGAGTGTCATCTTTGTGATCTGCATTTGTCAGAAAAAACTACAAAAAACTGATTTCTTGCGGATTAAGTTAAAGAGCTGAGGAAGTGATGATGAGTTCTTTGAGCTGGCGAAAAACCACACAACATTCCCAGTACTGTTTCTGAAAAGACTTGAAGCACACAGTAAAACAGAACTGGTATCAGCAGATTCTTGTATGAGAACAGAAAGAATGGGAACCATACATCTCACATGTCTGTGTCTTTCTCTGTCTGTCTCTCTCTCTTCTCTGTCGTTCTCTCTCTCTCTCTCTCTCTTCCCCTTCCTCTCTCTCCGCAAACCATTTACTAATATTGATACAAAAAGTATCTAAAAGAACCAGAGTTCATGTCAATCACAAAGTGTTTTTTTTGATTAAAATTGGTCCACTGCTGAGATATTAGTGCATAGTTGTACTGTGGAACAATGCATTCTAATTACCTGTCAGCGTCGGTCACCAGAGCGAGCCGCCCATAATCCCATGCTACTTTTCTCAAGATGGAGAACACAAACAACAGCCCCTAGGAGGACAAAAAAACAGTGTGCTTTAAAGCCTGCAGTGACATTATTTACATCACAGAAACATTCAGCTGTGTGTCATTTAAAAACACATTCCTCACAGTACTTCAACTCAGCACAGGCAGTATTTATGGAAACAGAACAATGAAAGAACTAGTGCAGACCATATTAAAGTTATTTTTATGTACAGTAACAAAAAGGCACTGTGTGGTCATTTCTTATTAATTAATTAATTAAATTAAAAAACTTACCAAGAAGCACATAAAGTCAAGCGCGAGGACAGTGGGTACTCCTCCAAAAGGTAAGCCCTGGAGTACGGTACTGCGAATGCGGGCTGAGTAGCAATAGGCCATGGTGGAATTGGGAGGGGACGTTGGGCAGCTCTCCGAACCAGAGCAGCCTTTCATCCCCCAGGCGGCCATGGTTTTAACAATGTTAACAGGTGTATTAGTTACTGCAGCATGTTGTCAACCTGTAGAAAAGAACAAGAGTTTCAGTGCGACACAAACAAATGATTGTCTTATACTCTGTGTTGTCAAGGACAAATTCAGTGTCAGTGTCTACAGACAGATGTGTAAAAACAACAGACAAAGGACTGAGGCTAATTTGGCATCTCATCCTTTAGAGGCTGACGTTTGTGTCAATAGTCACATGTTCTACTCTTGACCACATGCATGACAACTGGGATCTGCTTAGTATACAACACAGTCATCATGTTCCTCTTGTACACTGGTGGTGGCAGTGACACAAAGTGAACTTTGCTCTGAATTAAAAGAAAAGTACCTGCAAGTCAGTGAGTCCATGCATTACGAAATATAAAAAGAAATAAATACTTCTGTCTATAGTTTGACAACATCATTCAGCTTGTTTGTTTTTTGACCAAGTGAACTTTTAGGTTAAAGGTCCAGAATAAAATTTAGATTGGAAAAGGTGAGTGTTTGGCTTCCACATGTTAAGCTAACCATACCAAAGATTGTTTGGAAGCAAACGCTGATCCACATTGTTAGGACCCCAAAGGTGCAAACACCCCAATTAGTGGAGATTTAAAGAAAGAAGTATAACCCAAACATTCTGCTGCTTTACCATCTTCCTGACTATTTATGATGCATTTCCATAAAACCCATTATGACACAACAGATAATATGTCTTCCAAAAGTCCAAAGATGGAAAATGCCATAAAAACATTAATAATTTATGAGGGATAATGAGCCTTGAGAGAAAAGCATCTTTGCAACGTGGTGGCCAAGCTGAGCCTCCCTGTTCTTCTTTGTGGGGCCATAGAGTATAGTACCACTAATCAAACATTTAGTGAGTCCTCCCAACACAAAAGTCAGCATTTATCAACCAAAGAAAAACATAATATATAAAGGTGTGCTATGGCAATTCGATATAGCATCATATAATCAATATATCTTAACGAGATCAGATAACAATTTACACCAGACTTACAAGTGGTGACCAAAGAAAATTCTGAAGAGTCAATGTATTTTTCTTACACAGACTGGATAAAGTGTGTGGACCTGGTACAGGTCTCACATAGAGATAGTTGTGATATGTGTGTTTGAACAGTTGCACTGCTGTAGTTGTGGCCTTTGGCCCAGTACTAGCAGTGTATTCACAATACTGCTCATCTGCTACAACACTAACTCATTTATCTTCTCCCTGGAATGCTGTGACATCAGTGAAGAAAGATGCAGTCAGTACCGAACAATAGGCTGACAGAGACCAATGGGTTCAAATGGACCGGTCTCAACCCAAGGAGGACACGACATCTAAAAAACCTCCCATATCAATGGCAAACATCATCAGTGTGTGTGATTCAGAGGTTACACCAATGTTAATCTATTTTATGTAAAAATTAGTCTTTGCAAATTGTTAGAAGGGAGCTGCTGGTTATCCATGTCTCCCAGCCTTCATCTCCATCGCAAAACTGCTTCACACCCAACCCTTGCCCTTATTTGTTTTAATCTATGTTTTTGGCTTCTACAACACTGCTTTTTGGTGGCATACACGTGCTAGCATGCTGTAGCATGTCTTTGTGTGCATGCAGATCCAGTCAAGTCTTTTCAAAGTGCTTTTGAATGTGTATTAGCAAACCTTGACAACCAAAACAACAAACAACTACAATTGAGGACATTTGAACTGAAAGAGCAACTGACAATCTCATGGTAAATCAATCAACACATCCTTTTTATTTTTGTATTACGATCAGCATCTACTTACTGCAGCTATTCATCTGTCTCCATTTCAACTCCCTTACTCTTATACAAACAATTTTCCCATCTTCTTTCACCGTGTCCATGTATTAACCCTGGGCTCCTACCTTCCACCATATTTCCAAACCATTCCAAACATACCCACCCATCGAACTTCATCTTAATACTGCTTGACCTCAGCTGTCCCTGTGATGTGCCTACAGTATGTCTAATCCAATCAATCCTGGTCTCAGCCTCAGCTCAACCTCCTTTATTTTAATCAGGGACACTGACGCCAAACCACTCATAAAAGACGATCCCACTGCAACTTCGTTTGAAAATGAAATAAACTTTCATTTCAGCTTTTTTTTATTATTATTATTCTTTCTTGTACATGACTCAGGTGGTGATATTTAAAAAACAAATTCTGGTAATTGTCTGGTTATACTTGCAATAAAAGCATGTTATTTCTTTTTGTTTTTTATTTTATACTAATTAATAATCAATTAAAATAATTTATTACCTTTAATCTTTGGAGTAACACTGCCACTAGTGATGAAACCAATATTTGTAAAAATGATCACTCAAATTATTACTTTAACTCTCTATTACTACTACTGGCGTTACACAACTACAAACTACCACACTAGTCCATTCAAAGCTCATCACGAATTGAATCTTCCATTTGGTTGTCAGGAAAATTATAGGTATGTTATTTATACAAAATGTCATTTGGCATATATTAAAAGACACTGCACAAACAAAATCTTTTCATCTACCATCATACTGTATATTGCAATGATAATGATGACTTGTGCATATGAACCTACATTGTTTTGTTTTAGTACATGAGTCATCACTCTAACCTTCATAAGTTAAATATTTAAACAGGTTTTTTTTCCAATGCTAACAGAGGGGCAAAAAGTAGGTTAGCGGCTGTAAATTAGCACTGACTGTGGTTGCTGCACTTGCCAAACACAGTTAAACATATTTTTCCCAAAACGGAGCTGATGTAATTAAATTGATATTAGACTGACATAAGTCTTCTCCAGATGTGTTAGGAGTTAGAAGTCAACCTTCCTTTGAGTACACATTGATGAAAATAGGGCAATAAAATATTTTTTCTTAATGAATTGTGCTAAACAGAATAAATTAAATATATTTCACTAAATAAGACTTGCAAATATTAGCAGTTTGTTTATAAAGCAGAACAGACCATAGCTGCGCACTGTGTGCATTGTTGATATAAACTCATTCTATTGCAAAAAACATTTCTTTGATCCGTTCGGTGTTTCAGTGTTTCGTGGTACAAAGATAAATGGAAAATAATTTATATTTGTGTGTAACTCATGGTGGGCATGGGTCATGGTTGATTAATTGATGCCACAAGTTAAATATTCATCAGCTGATATCAGCAAGATAAATGTGAAGCCATTCATGAAAATCTTCAGGTTGTTGTGGAGTCCAATCATAGGTTGAAATGTTTATTTATTCAATATTTATTATTCCCACTGCAAAACAAAAAAGAAAATAATAACACTTCTGAAAGCCTATTTGTACAAATCCAAAAACTGCACTTGGAAACATTTAGTCACCCGCTGTAGCTATTCCCAAGTGAAACTCTAGACAGTGGATGCAGCATAATACAGAAACCACTTACTGTCAAGACATTATCTTGGAGCAGCATCGCTCAACAAGAAGCACTGCACAAATAGCTTAGAAATGTAAGGAAATAAAAACTTCTTCTCTATGTAATGTATCACAAATACTGGCCTTTCCCCTACAGGTAGACAAGATGGCTGCATTGTCATTATCAGGATTAGCACAATCAACTATATAAAAATCAATCACTAATTCACAAATTATTGAGCAACTTTATTCCTACTAATTTTGTTGTTTTTCCCCAGAAATTAAAAAAAAAAGTTTTCCAGTGTAAGCTTCTAAAATGCAAATATGATCTGGTTTGTTTGAACTAAGAAAGTAAATAAGATTTATGTTAAATCTTTGGACATAGAAAATATAAGGATATGTATATTTACATTTTTGGGGCATGACAGGCGTTTTTATTTTCGCATTTTCTGCATTTAAAATAATTTATATTCTTTAATTGCTCAAACTGATTAATCGAAAACTAAACTCTCGTCCAATAAACCAAAGATATTCCTAAAGTTGTATTACCCAGCTGAACGCTTTAAATGATGACCGATGCTGCTTGCAGCGATGACGCAACTCGCTCATATCTTATTAGTAAAAACAAGTTTTGTTTAAGTTATTATTCTGCATTTCGTCGTATTTGTTTGCTTGTCATAACATTACATTAAACTTCTGTAAAAAAAAATAGCTCTGGATCCAGATTGTTGAACCTGGATGATGTGGCTGTTGTCATGGAAATTAGTTTAAACCTAAAATATCAGTCACCCATTTTAAAAACAAAGCATAAAGAAACTTAGTTGGTTTCAATCATGAGTAGCTTATATTGCTGTTGACCTCACTACATCTGTTAGCGTCTGCTAATGGTAACAGAATGTGTTTACAGAGTTTTTACAGCACAAAACGAATGGACGAACACGACTACAGAAAACATGAATTCAAGTCTGTGGATAAATTACAACTTTGAAAAGTAGCAACGATTAATAAGTTGAATTTACTTACCGTGTGATAATACGCAACATGAGATGAGGTTGTCACAAATGGCTAATGCTGGCTAATAGTACAACGTTGACGGTGGCTAACTTCGCCCCACAGTATCGAAAATAACAGGTGGAGTTTGCCTACCGCTTGGCGTTAATCCCTACTTAAAACGAGTTACTGTTAAACCTCCACAGCCAAAGTACGAACCTAAACGAGTCACTGAGACGGCCTGGCTGTTGATAATCGCAGACAATCCTCTCTACTGTGTTAGTGGCGTTTGTGAACACCGGTTAAACAACTCTCGCTAACCCAACCAGTCCACCAACAGGCGCAGTCTGCTCATCAGTCTGACGTACGTAGAAAAAGGTCATATAGACAAGCAATACCTTAAAGTGGTATCACCTATTGGCATGCTGTTTCCGAATCTGGAACCAAACGATAAAATATTTGACAACCTAACGTTTTGAGTTAGTTTAAGGGACGATACTTTATAAAATAAATAAATCCAATTTTACTTCAAACAATAAATACAAATAAAAGTGAGATGATTGATCGATTTTAAAATATTTCGTTGGTTTCATTCGACTCCAGAAGTCAACCTAAATTAAAGCAATAATGAATGACCACCCAAGTTATAACCGTGGGGACTTACCTGGATTGAACTCAAACCCTTCCTGTGTGCCTTATTAAGCCCAACTTTAATCAAATTGGACTCAAATAATTTATTTAGTGTTTTTTGACTCACTTTGGCCTGAATTCAGTTTGTTTAAAATGAAACTTCTCTAAGCTTCAATATGGACTAAAAATAGACACGGACCTAAACACCTAGACATTGAGACACTTAATCTAACCCATTTTCATTTTAAAACACCCAGCCGGATGTAAATTTCTATAATAAACCCAATACCATCATCATTTCACAACTACATATAAGGATGCTTTCTGTTTAATCATAAAAATACGTTCCACGCCTGTGTAGCTTCTATGCATTTAGTTTCTATTTCCGCGCAGTTGAATGACGTAGAGAAAAGTTTATTTTGCATATATAAACGACGATTTTGTTTTTTATTTATAAAAGATCATTAAAATATAATGGCATTCATTGTTTTCAGTAGATATTATTTATCGTGCTAATAAATATCACGCTGTTCTGCTAAAAACGATGCAAACGGACGCATGATGATGACATCACACCTTTGACATTGCATGGAGCGTGATAGAAAGGTAACGCTAGTAAGAGTATGTTTGCACTTTGGATGTGTGATAATTATTAATAAAGCGGTTGCTTAATTATTTTAATACATTGGTTTTGTACATTGGATACTGCCCGATCCTGTTATTAACAAGTCGCTATTTTATTTAATTATGATACAGACTATAGCATTAACAATCGCTTTAGCCTCGTAATTGCTAACTGTGTATCTGTTCTTCAATCAGCTCATACAGAATTCATAGTCATGGCTCTTGCATATCTGTCGAAGTCTCTCACCGGCCTCCATGTTGGCTCATCATCTCGACTCCGTGTCAGGGATTTTAGGTAAGAACCTTTTCTGTCAGTTTTGGAGCCAGACTTTTACCATAGAAACGACCTCACCGAAAACATTGTGGTCTGGGTAACTATTAGTGTCAAGTATTTTACTTCGATTTTATCATGAATATACTTGTATGTATTTAGCAATTTGTTAGTATTGTATTTTGAGTTTCTGGTGCATCGTGCAAACCTTTAAGTAGGAAGGGAATATACAAAACGTAATTCACATTCACAAGTGTATTAATACAATACTAATATTAAATATTATTCCATTTCAGACAGATGTTCTTCAAAAGTTACCATCAGCTCAGAATAATATAAAAATGTGTCTAATAAACTAAAGATGACATGTTGGTATATTTGTTACAGTGTCACTGCTGCTGCAGCAGCCATTCAGAAGATGACCAGGGTCCGTGTGGTTGACAACAGCTCTTTGGGAAACACAGCATATCATCGTCCTCCTAGAGTGATTCACGTCTACACCAAGACTGGTGTCGGGAAAGTGGGAGACAAAGTGCTGCTTGCCATCAAAGGACAGAAGAAGAAAGCCCTTATCGTTGGACATAAAATGCCTGGAGATCGTATGACTCCACGTTTTGATTCAAACAATGTTGTTCTGATCGAAGATAATGGAAACCCTACTGGGACAAGGATTAAGGTTCCTATACCCACACATCTTCGCAAACTGGAGGGAGATTATTCTAAAGTGTTGGCTATTGCTAGTTCTTTTGTTTGACTTTTTCTAAATTTTTCATAGATATTTTTAATTTTCTGTTTAAAATTGGCAGATAGGCAAATTGTCTGAAGCAGTCTGCTGTAGGTTTATGTATGTGTATGTGTAACATGTTTGACTTTTACCAAGTCTTCCTATGGTTACTGTAAACATAAGCTCTTTTCTTAATCCACGTGTTATTGGTGCAGTCTGTTTAGACAAATGTGGGTCAGGTTTAGGGTTGCAAAGGGCAGAAAATTCAGGTGAACTTTTGAAAACTTTAAACCTTGAAAGTTTGCGGGAAATGTTCTGCCTTATGCAACCTTAAGCTGACTCATTCAAGTTTCAGAAACATTACACTTGGAAATGCAATTTGGAAAATTGTTTTTGGTTTGGTTCAGGTTGGTTTACAAAAAGAAAGACCTTATATCACGAGTTAAATATTTATTCAAGGCACAACATACATTCACAACACAGGAAAAGAGTGGCACATTTTAACATCTGCTAACAATTTAGTATTGTGTATAAGGCATTAAGTGTTATTTCTGTAATGTTCTGGTCAGATCTCACTGATTCCTTCAAATAAAATTGTGCAAAAATAAAAAGCAAGGTCAGTATTTTTAAAAAAGAACACTGATTGATGATGTAGTAAAACAGGATAAACTCCCTCGTTAAAAACCATACAAATATAATGAATCGAGTCAGATTGGCTCTCTACTGCCACCTGCCGGTGCATCATTAAAAATATTAACCACTGCCAAGATTTGTCCGTACTGGATATCTGTTAGCAGGGTTACTTCAAATCTGCTAAAAAAACAACAAACAAACAAACAGAAGACGTTTGTTTTAATTTATAATAATAATTTGAACTTTTTGGATCCCATACTGGGAAAATTCTCGTATTAACAGCTGCTGCAAGAGGCTGCCCCTTGGAGGAGCAAAGTATGTGGTATTTATTTATGTAAGAATCTTTCTAAGCACTTTAGGAACAGATGACTCAAGAACAGCTGTCGTACCACAGTAGGTAAAACCAGATAAAATGATTCGGTCTGTAAAAAAAAAAGTAAAAATATCAAATAATCAGCTACAGTACACATCACAGCTACAGCTCATGCACACGTACATGCTGTGTTGAAAGGGATGATAGGGTTAACGTGGCACGCTGACTTCTTTATACCGTATTGGTTGCATAGTTTTTTAAAACTCTACCAGGAGATGCAGCTTAGTTGGGCTTTGGTGTTGTGTGATACAGCTTTTATGATTTCACTACTTAAGTCGCTGAGGTGGGACGTGTTAGAGAATCAGTTTGTCTAAGGCTCAGGGGGTCTTCTGGGCTCCTGGGTTAAAGGTACCTTTGTTTGGTATTCTCCTATAGGCAAAGGCTTCATCCACACATGGTCACATAAAGCCACTGTCAGGGAAAAAAATACATAAACAGAATTTAATGTTTTTTTTAATGAACTGAATCTTTCCTTTTTTTGTCCAAAACTCACCTGTGTAATGTTCATCTCAGCCACTCCTGATCCTTCTTTGTCAAACTCCCGGTAAGACCCTGTTAAAAAATCAAACCAATTCATGAACAGGACTGTACTTCAAAGTCTTAATGTAGTATCAAGAAAATCAAAATCAAAATACAGTTTAAGGTAAGCATGAAAATGCAAAAGAAATGTGATTGACGTCACTTTGGAAATCCACAGATTTCCAAAGGAGTGACAGATAAGAAATACAAATGTGTTGTTGTCAGAGGTCAAAGGAGAATGAAAAGACTGATTCAAGCACCTAGCATGGAAACAGTAGTTTAAAGATTAACCTGTGGCAATATCTGAGTAAACAAAAACATCTATGAGCAAACCACAGGTCCAAACATAGAGCAGATAAACTAAAGCAGCAGCAGACCAACACTGATAGTGGAGACACAGTAGTTAATGTGTGGGAATTTAAACCCAAGATTAGAAAACATTGTACTACATGAGGGCACCATGTTGTTGATCCCGATATAGACACTTTAATTCTCAACACATGTGCATTCACACTACTCACTGAACATGGCTTCAAGTTTGACCAAACAGCAGATGAAGTTGTCAAAGTCGATGATCTCGTTCTCTGCGTATCGAGCCACCAGGATCTGGTTCAGTCTGTTGTTCAGTTTAAAACCTACAAATGATCAAAACAACAAAGAGACGTTGTTTTCATCCAGGTCTGCGCATGGATACACAAATTATATGCAAAAGTACCGCACCTGCTGCCTCCACGGCAAGACGCATCTCGTATGAGCTCATGGCTCCTGATTTGTCCAAATCAAACTGTCTGAAAATGACCTTAAAGACAGAAACAACAGTGTAAAGACAGATCCAGAGCTGCGTGAACAACTCTGTGTAATGTTCTGACATCTTACTGAGAACATATTCTTACCAGCCAGTTCCGGATCTTGTTCCATAGGATCTGAAACTCCACGAGCCCCAGACGTGCACTTCCGTCTTTCTGGTGAACAACGTTGTCAAGGGATGAACCACAGAGAATTTAGCTGTTTTGTTTGGGAAAAAAATTGCTTATATTTCTTTACTCCACAGGATACGTCCATCAGATTGACCATGGTCCTACATGATTCCATACTGAAGCCATCAGTCTTTAGGTCTTTGTCTAAAAAAAAAAACCCAAAAAGAAAAAAAAAACACTCCTTTCAACTCAGATTACAACCATCAACCGCAAGAAAACAAATAGGTCTTCACTGTACAGTGAAATTTAGTACAACGATGGTAGATGTCATGCTAATGTGTTAACTTCTGATTCTCAATATTACTTGACTAAAAATAAAACTCACGCCGGGAAATGACTCTGTTAAGAATGGTCCTCAGCTCACGAACAGAAATCTCCAAGTCCTAGAAACACAGTGGGTAAAAAGAGAGAAGATGTGCATTTGAAGTTCAGGAAATGAGAGACTTTAGGGATTTCTTTTTGTCTTAATATCTTTAGAAATGATTAAAAGACCAATGAAAACAGCCATTAATATAAATATAACTAAAACCATTCTAGGATGAAGCAAACCCAGATCCTACCTCTCCTGCCAGCTGTGCAAACATAGACTTGAAGGAGTCGTCGATATCATCCTCAGTTATTTCCTCCTGTATGAAACCAAAAAAACTATTGATTTACAGCGTGTTTTTCAATGATAATGTAGGTGTTTTATTCCTATGTGGGTGACTGACTGTGTCACAACTTACATCTTCTCCTAGATCAGCAGAGATCTCATCGTCTAGTTCTCTGCAACGGACAAAAAATGTTATCATAAAAAAAAATTTAACCACTGTTTTGGTCATTGAAGTCTCTTACTCAGTTTCTGCCTGCTTCTCAGTGAAGACTCTCAGGACAAAGTCGGCCTCTTTGCTGGGCTCAAAGGTGGAGGGAACGATGATGTACTCTCCGGGCGGAAGACGCAGCCTGGTGCTGACTTCTCTCAGGTTAATGAAAGTCTCAGAGCGTGCGCACGATGAATGGCTCAAAAAGAAATTTTTCTTCAGGTGGACATTCTGGCAGCCTCTGTACTATGGGTGGTACAAGATAACAGATGTGTTGAAACGCATTTGTCTACTTGAGCTCAACACAAATACAGGGGCGTGTGCAGTACAGCCTACCTCGTCTGGAACCTGCAAAAATGAGAAAATAAAAATGTTTACACCAAGGGGGAAAAATCTCTTAAACTCTAAGGTAGTAAGTAATTGAGAACGTTAAGATTTTATTCCCTCATTATTCTTACCTCATAAAGAGCAAAACCAATGGTGTGCATGTCTTGCCCTTGACGCCGACTCTTGCGACGGTCTTTCTGCATCAGGGCCACTAAAAAGCTGCAGGCCACCTCGTCATCCTCTGGGTCGTCGTCCTCCTCCAGCAACGTGATCTTGTACTGAGGGTTGATCCAGAATGTATCTGCGTTTAACAATAAAAGTACAGTCACGTGAGACAGGTCATCAAATCGCCTCCTTCAAATCATCCTGTCTGGCTTTCCTGTGGAGACTCACTGGGATGGTTCCTGCAGCCTCCTGCGGTGCTGCCTCGTCTCCATGTTCCATGGTAGGTGGTGGTGTTCCAGTGGCTGAGACTGTCCTCACTCAGAACATCAGGAGTCAAGTTACAGATCTCTAATCGAGAAAACTGCCTTAAGAAATCGCTGAAGGACATCCTGGAAGATTGGAGTCAAATTTAGGTGAAACTTTTTTTTTTTTTACCTCAAAGTTTTTTTTTGTTTTTTTTTTACAAAAATGCATTCATTAGAGCTATAATGGTATGTGTATTCATATCAATGAACAAATATTCAGTAAATCATATTAAATTCTCAAATGTCTACGCCAATTTTTAAATTTTGGCAAAAATTTACCAAAATTAACTTGTTAACCAGGCCTGAGCCAATCATGCAGTGTTAGAAAGTGTTCTGTTTCAGTAAAAAGAAAAAGTAAAAACAGGTTTTGTTTTCAGTAAAAGTCCTTCATAAAAAAATAATTATAAATTGAAATTCCTGTGTCTGTGAAGGTTCACAATGAAGACAGACAGCTCAACACAGAAGACTATGTTGGATCACCTGGTCATCTGATCATCTTACCAGAACTCTCCATCCTCCATCTGAAGATGCAAGTCCTCTCTTTCAGAGGGGTCAATCTCATCCCATTCATGTGAACTGTATATGAGAAGACGATCGGTTTGAGTTGTCAAAGAAAAACACCGAAGAAAAAAGGACTTTGGACACAACCAAACCAAATTATTCGGTCACACTCACTTGTCGTTCCACGCACCAGTCCACTCCACCTGACCCCATGGGTTACGTACTCGGATTAGGCGAGTCATGTTGCCATGGTAATCAACCTGTGTAACAGCAGAGTGATGACAAGTTCACCACAATGACAGCGTTTCAGTCAGTGGTTTTAATGAGAGCAAATTAAATGTACACGCAGACCTCCTTCAGCCCAGTCAAGGAGTAGGCGTGGCCTTTCACCAGCTTCTTGAATGTGACAGCCTCCATGTCAAAAGCACTGGTGATCTATGGTGGGTAAAAAAGGAAATAATTCAACACACTTTTAATAGGATTGGTTTAATGTTGATCACACCCCGACGTCGCACTCACATCAATAGAGCAGCCTAGCAGAGAGCCCCGGTCCAGGGCTTTAGCAATGATTCTGTACAGATCTCTGGGAGGTTTGCTCAGCTCGTACATCTCTGACACTCCACCTGTGAAATCCTCAAAGCCTTCAGTGGTGCTTCCTCCCGACAGAGCCTCGTAGGAGCCATTTAGTCTAAAACCACAAAAAGAAAAAAAAAAAATCAAAAACGTCACTTTGACTATGAAACATCGCCTTCAACTGAACACACTTAAACTGAATAATTTAGCATTCTGGAATGGTGCATCTGATCTTACTTAGCATAAGCCTTTTCCAAAAGTGCACTCCAGAATTCATTGCCCTCTGCTGAATGGACAAACATGAGCTCCCCATCCTTGACAGGCAGCCTGTCATCAATCACAATGTCCACCCATTCACCAAACTGCCAGAACTGCAACACAGAGGAAAATTATTATGTATTTCTCCAAATTAACTTTGCCCCAAACCATGGAGGGGGGAAAGACTAGAGAGAAGAACCTGGAAGTGGAAAATTCCCGCATAGTCATCTTGGAATGACTGTCCATGTGGGACAACTCGATGAAGAATCTTCTCATTCAGGGTGAGAGACGCAATGGCAGCCAGGAGCCAGCAGTCGCCTGGAGGTGTCGTGAGATGGTCAATAGTTCATAGTGTTGTTTTAGTGCAAAGAATCCATTCATGACAAAAAATCGAGTAATAAAAATAGTCAGATTAAAAAAGTGTGCACAAGAAACCCACCAGAACTAATGCCAGTATCGATATTTGGCCTGATACTCTGTGTAAATATGTGCAGAATTCCTAATTTAATTATTATATTAATTATATTTTACAGTTTTAATTTTTTTATTGATGTTATCATTAGTTTAACTGATATATTGGCTAATGTTTTAACATTTAAAAAAAAAAACAAGGCCTTACCCAGTGCTCCCTGACAGATGTCTGTCCTGGTGGCACCGCCCACAATAAACTGAGGATCATCTGTCAGTTCCTACAAGGCAAATTAAATGCGTGAGTGAAGACAAACAAATCCATACAACTAGAGAGAGCACTCAGAGAGAACAAGCCTCATTAGTGGTCACTCATACTCCTACACATTCAGTGCAACTGTCTGTTTGGTGAGCAACAGATTTAAATAAAAAAATCTAATTCAGATTTGACTGTGGATTATCATGATCATCTTTCTTCAGATATAATATACCAAATACCATTAGAATCTGTTCTTTATAAGCAGGGACACCAGAGGCTCTGGTGGAGGTCATATTTGTTCAACTTGGTGTCAACTTTAAGGAGACACATTTTTCAACCCTAATGCTATTTTAGTATCTATGCCTTAGCTGCGTTGTTTTAATGAGTTAGTGTAAACACATGTCACAGCAGGGAGTGGACCCAGAGAAGCCATGAAATACCAACAGCTGCAGACTGTGGTCTGAGACCTTCCTGTTCATACTTGTCCCACTCTGTCTAGCTCTGTGTGTGTTGACAGTGTGAAACCTTAATGCGATTTAGAGTCACAGATGTTCCCTAGTGACCCACATGGTTATTGCTTCCTAATGTCCAGGTCTGGGTTTCCTCACCGTGGGCCTCATCCACTCCACGTCTCTGGTTTTGGAGGAATAGGGTGCAAGCTCTTTGAAGCCCAGAGACGGAGGCTCTGCTGGGAAACAGGGATCCTCGAACAGGCAGCCCGACTCCACACACTCCTGTTTCAGAGCCTCATAGTCCTGGTTGGCGAAGTGCACGGCCTGCTCCTTTGAGCCCACGCCCTCTGCCCGGAGCCTGCTGGCGTATATTGTTGCAGATATCCCTCCAGCTGGATCCATGGTGCTGCAAGATAAAAATAATGCGGGTGGGTGTATAGACATAGTACAGCTTATAAATAGTACTAACTTTAGTAGTGACACACTCTTGTGTGAGAGGTACAGTAAACTATGTGTCTATTTGGGTGAAGCTGTGGAACAATACTGACTAATGATCTTAATGTGTTTTTTCCTCATTACAACAAGAAGCCACAAAGGACTGAGGTTGGAATTCTTGAAATAGTGACATGTGAAATGTGGAAATCCTTGAGGGAATTTTATGTCCATAACTCCACATTACACAACAAGGAAGTTATAAGGTTATAAGGTTGACTATTACAGTTCACATTTCTATTTGTTATTATGTATTTTAGGCTAAGCAATATTGCGTGTAGCAGCCATGACAAGGTACTTCTGTATTTCTTTCAATGATAAATATGATCCTATTGGAAAAAAGGTCATTTTTCAAAGTCAGTATGAATACAGAAGTTTTGAAATATGCCCCATTGTTAAATGCCATGGTGCCGTTTTGAAGTTGGAACTAACTAGTTTTGAACCAACACAAACAAATGAGTCAATACTGTACTGTACAATCTGAGCCTGGGACATAACAGACAGACTGGTTTTATTTGGTACATCACCTGAGGCTTTGAGAAACTACAAAGTCTCCTCTTTAACATTTTTTGTCTGTTATTGAAATGTAATATAATGATAACTGATTCAAAGTACCCTATATTAGAAACCTGGTTCAGTTTACTCTGAAAAAAGAAAAGTATACTGTTTTAACCTATTGTTAACAACCTGACATTTTGGCCCCAGAGAGGACAATAACACCAATAGTAGTGAAACATGATGTTAAAAATATTACGTGTTTAACTGGGACAAAACACCAACATCACATTTAACACAGAAAATCCCAGGGATAACAGAGCCATTCAGTAACATGATACTGTAGCTGGACAGGTAGGCTGGGAGAAAGAATGGGACAGAAAAAAGAGAGGAAAGGTCAGTGGTGAATCTTTTGTTATATACACAAATACTGCAGGTACTGTACAGTACTTGGTCACAAGAGCCAACACTTTGGATTCTGGTTTTGACAGTGTTTTCCTGCAAATCAATTTGATTGGCTGCCAGTCAATGAAGCTTAATCAGGCCTTTGAGGACAAGCCAGAAAGAATGGATGATGCTGTGCAGACATTTGTGGATTTTTCTTCTCTATTTCTTTATGAACTGGTGTCAGGGAATTTTCTAGGGAAGACATGAAATAACTTAGATGGGGAGAACTGGTAGCAAATGTCACCAGAGCTGTCTGTTAAAGTCTGTTTAAGGTTTTAACTGAATGTGTGCTGAAACAAAATGGGACAAGGCCTTCCATGTGCCTCTGGTCTACTGGAAAGGAATCCTGATGAGAAGCGTTGACTAAACAGACCACACAGACTCACAGTTTGAATTTAAAACATGAACGGAGCTGCAGTACAGAGAAATCAGTGAGATGGAGATGAACGTGATTTGATGAAAATAAAAGAAGCTAATGTTAACTGATATTCACTATGTTTCAGAGAGAAACAAAACTGCAGGCTAAGGGCATTGTTTATAAGAGCACTCCCCCCACTCTGAGGCCCCCTGCACGTCTATAGAGTCTGCAGGAATGTCTCTGTGCTTTGACCAACAGTCACAGAGAGACTGCTGCTGCTGCTGATGCCTGCACCAGGCTAGAAGACAATATTTCCTTTTCACCCTGATGAACAAGGAAGTGCTGATCAGGGCAAAGCTGTAAAGATGACATCATTAATTGGACCTTAACCTGAACCAACACAACTGCACAGCCTGAGCTCAAATGAACTACAACTCAACACCCTGTACAGTACAAAATACATGTATAATACATGTGTGGCATGTTAATTCTTTGACTGATTAAAAGCTATACCAAAAGGCTTCACTTACATTCCCTACAAACTCAATGGACAACTAAAGTCATAGCTGATACAGCTTTCAGTAAAATTAAGATTAGTTTGACCTCTGTGCAAAAAATAAAAATAATAATAATAAACAAAATTGTTTTGCATATATCTCTTAAAGCTATCTCTTAAAGATTTAAAAATTAGTATTCATTTTTAAATCTTACATTTTTGAGCAGGACTCAAAATTTCCCCAATATAGAATGTGTAGTAATTGTTTGTAAACAAAATAAGCATGTAACTTCCCTTTCACCCCAGCAGGGGATGCTACGCTATGTCGAAAGACTAAAATAACTGTAAAACAAAACACGAAAAATATTTCGTGGTCAAAAATTCTGACCCAAGTAGTTTATCCCACTTTTGGGTCACCAACGAACACTGAAAAATCACTGCAATACGCAGAATAGGATCCGCCCACTTACGCTCGCATCAGTAAAACAAAGAAATAAGCAAACAAAACACACAATACCCTACAGTATTTCGGGGCCTACATAAAACTACTTTAGTCGGTTTTATCTCGCCGATTCGTCTAACCGCCCCTGTGTCTAATCGGTTATGCAGCCTAATAGTTCACAGCACCTGTTCACACACCGGTGGGAAATAAGCCCGTCTTTAATCTGTTACAGTCTAGTTTCATTAAACATTTTCAACAAGAACAAAATAACTACAGCTCTGTCACTAAAGGCTATTTTCGCAGGTGCATTCGATCTGCGGGTCTCGAAAGTCGCTGCCGCTGCAGCAATCTGTAAAACCGCACTGAAAGGCCTGCGCTGCCGGTGAAACCAGGCCGAGCACCGTTAACCTACAGCCGCTACAACTGTCAGCTGTTAAGGGGAGAAACGCAGAGACTCACCGGTGATACAGGAGGATCTCCGGCCTCAGTACAGACACAGAACTGTGAGATATGATCAGATGGGACACAGTGCAGGACCACCCCTCTATACTGGCACACACGCACAGGAAACACCCCCCCACCAGCCCCAACCGAAGGAGGTGGGGCCACTTAAACCCAGCAGCAGCAGCCACTTAGTGCCACTGGAGGTCCTCAGGATGACGAGCGTAGAACATGGAAGGATGTTCCAAAGTCTACAGAAGTTACATTAGAGTGGAAAAACAACAACAAAAATAGTGTTGTTATACTTGGAGCAAATAAGATGTAACATTACAAGAGTGATGAAATACCAGAGAAATATTAAGTAAAAACATAGATCCTAAATGAAATACAATGAAGAGGTAGAGAACCAAGTAGGTCGTTAGAATCAGATCAGGGCATTTATTTATTAATTTTGCTGCAACTTCTGGCTAAAACATGTAGCATCACTTTGTTTTTTTTACTAGAATTAATAAGTCCTTCTTGATAAAGTACAGTAGGTTAAGAGCGATAAAGGGAAGATACACAGACTACAAAATATAAGAGCGATAATAAAATAAAGGTTATGCAAATAAGAATAAAGAAAAGCTAATATGTGGATTAGTTATGTGTTGGACATATTGAAATCTAGTCCAGTCTGTGTCAGTGTCGGCAGACTAGCTACTGATGCTTGTTTTAGTCACAAAAACTGAAATACAGTAAAATGTATATTTTCAGATAGGCCTATTCCTTAAATAAACACTTAAGGTGGTGAAATCAGTGAAAAAATGAAAGTAGTCACAGTTGTGTTTACTTAAAAGGTCACCAACTGATTGATTAACATTTAAAAGCAAAGTAAATATTAGCAATCTGTAAATCCTTATCCTGGTCTAACTGACCTCTCTCCTATGAATCATACACTGGGTTGTGTTCTTAGT